GTTCCTGTTCTCAAGAGGAATGGTTTCAGTCTCTCTCCATTGAGGGTAATATTGGCTGTTGGTTTTGCATAAATGCCTTTTATTATGTTGAGGAATGTACCCCTGGGAATTCTTACAGAACACACAAATACACTTGTAGAACTATTGTGTGCCAAACCTGTACATGGTCTTCGGTACACTCCCTGCTTCATAGACACACCTAGTAGTTCAGCCTGTCCACCCATCTATCCACCCGTATACTCGTGTTTGCTAAAAGGCACTCTTTTATCTCTGCCTGTTGGGATCATACCCTATATTTAAGGCTCAACTCAAACCCCACAACTCTCCATGAAGTCATCTATTTATCCCTTTTCCTCAACTCAACATGTGCCAGAAGTTGTGATAGGTTCACTTAACATTTGCTAAATGAAACTGAGTTTTAAGGTCTCTAATTCAATACTCTTCCCACTAAACTCTGAAGTAATCCATCTTCTGAAATGATGTGACCTCAAAGACAAGCCTAATTAGTATGCCACAGCAATTACTGAACTAGGACCAGATGATAGGGGTATGCAGCAGCTATCAGAGAGAGAAAATAGAATATTGTTTTGAAAGGCCTGTAACGTGGGTAAGAGCTATTAAAAACATTAATCAAATTAAAGAAAACATTGAACAGCATAAGCAAGATGCCAAACTAGGTACTGTGGGGATAAAAAGTTTAAGTCATAGTTCTTGCATGACTTTATACAAGTGAGGACAACAAGAGCAACATTTACTAAATTAGGTATCAATAAAAATCTGAAATAGGAGAGGACAGCAACACAAAGAGAAGCTGGTATAGAATAATTCTCTTGGATCACATAAGTCAGTGCTATCAATGCCACCTTCCTTCCTTGCTAATCTACTTTCCAAAGACTGTTCTCTTTATCAATACCTCCTTTTTCTCCCCAGCTTTCTAACCAATCCCAATCCTTCATTACTAAGCATTAATTTATGAAGTAGGTGAAAGTAAACGAATGGTCCTCCTTCAAAAAGAAATGCCATTTTTTTCCCTTCTTTAATGGAAAATGTTTTCTAGAACACAGGGAAAGCCCAGGATGAAAAATGTAGACAAGTACTAGTCTAAACAAAAAAATAACATCCTTGGAAATTCAGTAGATTTTGCCCAGTTTATGATATAAATATGAAATTGGCAACTGACACCAAGTAGTCAGTAGAAAGAGAATCTTGATAATGAAAAAAGTCTGGGTAAAGCCCAATGAAGGGCAACTGTAGAAAAAAGTCACCATTTAGAACGAGTGTCCATTAAGCTTGGAGCATGGATAAGCGACCATGATTTTTCTTTTTTTTTTTTTTTAGGTAACCTCAGTGAAAACCAATTTTAAAATTGGAGCACACTTCAGCTTTGTACAAAATCCGAATCTGTTTTTTTTCTTTGCACAGGCCAGCTCAGAATGACTTACGGAGTTCATTTCCTTCGCTGAGAATCTCCACCCGGCGCACAAGCTGCTCAAACAGATTCCGCAAATTCAGCATCGTGGACTCCATCTTTCTGCCAAGAAATCAAATATACATTAGGGCTCCTGCCTTCTCCCCTACACAAAAGATTCAGCAGCAATCCAGTACAGCCATCATTGACTAGCATCTGGACTCTTGCCTTTAGAGCTACCATCACAAAAATCTCAAGCCAACAACTGATGTTCTGTGTAATCCTTATTATAATAACAAAGTTGGAATGTTTAAGGTTCATTTAAAAATTTGAAAAGTACTGTATGGAAAGTGAATTTGCTCCGTAAATTTTCACCCAAATCACAATAAAAAAAAAAAATTTGAAAAGCATTTCACAGATTTCTGAATATAATATCCCCTTCCTGCCAACTTATTTTCCCCCACTCTCCAATCACTCTGGGGCAGAGAAGTAAACAATTAAGGACAAGCATATCATTTGATTACTAGATGACCAACTGCAAAATGTGGTTCTTAAAGACAAGCATACTGACTGATATAACACTTTGCCACTTCAATCCTTCTGGACTTTGAAGATCGTCAACATAACTTAAAAGCTTTATTTTTAAATTCATTTTTAGTTAGTGCCCCTGTTGCAAATGCCTTTTAAAATGCAGGACCTGGTCAGCACATTTTCTACCAACGGCACAGATGACGTCACACGAGTGATTAAGTGGGGAAATCGCCAGCTCAGCAGCACAAGAATTATTTCTGTAATGCAGGGCTCTCTGCTGGACTGCGTGCAGGGACTATGTCTAATAAATTTATACTAAGTATAGGCAAAGGATTATGTTGTACCACATTCTGGCATCAGAGAGACAATACACTACCTTCACAGTTAGAAGGGCAAAGGAAAAAATCATTTGCTACTGTGTTCTGTATAGTGAATTTCAGGTCCCATCTTCCCCCCAAAGACCTGATGATATTACATTAAAAATGGTGTCCTTTGCACAGTTCTGTTCCAAACGGACCTTAACTGGGAACACTTTGAGGAAATAAGATTTTCATTTAACAGTCAACAAAGAAAGACATCAACTGGATGTTATGAAAATTATCTCAAGGAAATGAAATGAAAAACCAAATTTCATTTGAAAATCTAATGTCCTCAGAAATATCATTAAAGTATTCTTCTTACATTTCTCCTCAACACCCCTTCAACATTCTAGTCCAGGTCCTTATTTCATGCATCTAAATAAATTTTAAGAACTCTTCTGTGAAGGTTTAGTGATTTTACAATGTTTATAAGATTGTATCCTAAACTGTGAGGGTAAGAAAGGTATGGGGAGTGGGGGGAACAAAGAACAAAGGAATATATATGAATATAAAGGTATTTTCTATTAAATGGTACACAATTATTCATTTGTACTTGTATGCTGATCGTTCTAACAGCAAAAACGCTTCCAATTCAAGCCTGGATGCAATAATATATACCTGAATCAGGGCCGGAAACCAAGATCTTCAAATGATAATGTTATCTGTTCCAAGCTACAAAATCACAGCAAGCTGCTAAGCAACCAGACCAACAAATGTATTACAAAGCTCTTTCTCTAAACTAAGAACAAAAAGAATAACATTAAACCCCCAGGAAAAATTCTGGAAGTCATAGAAATGCCTATAGACTGAAGAATAAGGCAAAACAGGCAAACAAACATACCCAAGTGTTACAGGGCAGAAGCCGGGGCAGGGCATTCAGCAGTCAATTCAAATGATGATTTCCTTTGGATTCCAGGAGTACTGGAAACAGCGATCAGTAGTTTTAACATGGGGTAATGATTGCTGTTATCTCAGCACTTATCTGTATACTCCTAGACTATAGGACAGTGAGCTCAGTACATACATAGGAAAACTATATGCCCAAGAATGTAGAGAAGGAAATGCTCATGGTGCAACCAGGGTACTAAAAACAGATCATTAAAAAAAAAAAAAAAAAAGTTTTTTTTTCCCTCAAGAGGGTTTTTATATCTTAAATGATAACTTAACCACTTGATCCTTTGTCTCCTTCAAAATATCCTTACATATTTTCTCAAGTTCCTCTTAGTCTTTTTATTCTTCTTTGTGTACACCACTCCCTGGAGTAAAGTAAGGGCTGGTTGGTGGGGGAGATATTCTCTTAAAAACACTGACCACATTCCTGAAAGACTAAAGATACAGAGAACCTACATGGGCGGGGCCAGGGGTGGGGAGGGGAAGGGGACAACAGATACAGACAAGAGAGGAGATACAACTCTTCATCATGGTAACTGGTATTTCCTACAACTATCACCATCTATCTATACTGTTCTCCTAACATGGTGCATATACCCCGGGGATAGCTGTTTAATTGAACTCCTAATATAATGCTTAGGAGCTCTGGCAGCGTAGTGCCTAAGGCACTTGAGTGCTAACCAGAAAGCTGGCGATTCAAACCCACCAGCCACTCCTCAGAAGGAAGGTTGGGCAATCTACTTCTGTAGTGATACTGCCACGGAAATCCAAGTAGGGGTTGCTATGAGTTGGGTCCAGGGCATATACAACAACAAATACAATGCTCCTGAGCTCTGGTGACGTCCTGCCTAAGGCATTTGACTGCTAACCAGAATGATGGCAGTTGAAATCTACCAGCCACTCCTGGGAAGGAAGGTTGAGCAATCTACTTCTGTAGTGACATGGCCTCCGAAACCCAAGGAAGGGTTGCTGCCAGTCAGGTCCGACTGGATGGCAAAAACAACAACGTTATGCTCTATTATAAAACAACAAAAAGGTAACCTTTAACTTTATCAGCCCTTCATAGTCTCCAGATTTAGTTCTAAAAGGTTTGATTATTAACTTTTCTCTATTATTCCCCCTCAGCACCACACATTCCCCAAAGTTCAATCCTCTGTCTTCTGAAAAAACGTATCAAACTACCCATGTTAGTCAATTTCTCTTTCCAACTCTAGCTAGATTTTGAGATACTGCACTACCCTTCCCCCTCATCAACCACCCTACCATAAACTGACTCTCAGTTTTTATGTCCCTATTTTATCTTTCTCCCAGTCACTCAGTTCCAAACCTCAGAACCACCTTTGGCTCTTCCCTTTCCTACAAGCACAGTCATCAAACCTGTGGCCTCCTCTCTCATATGTATATTATACCCACCCTCACTTGCAGATTTTCATCACTCACTTCAACTTACTTCCCTGTCTCCAATCTTCCCCCACTGCTTTGCTCAGTTGGCCTTCTAACTAATTTTACCATATGTCCCAGGCAAACTGTAAACTTCCTGAGAGAAGCCTTACATTTAGCACTAATGTAACACACACAAAGCTTACACACAAAATAAGTATCTGATAAGTGAAAGTCAGAGGAACACACAAACACACACACCCTAGCCCATGTTATTGTCAAAAGAATTTCCATTCTAATCAAATGTCAATGTTTGGTATAGAGTCAAACAAACAAAAAAAAACATTTTAAAAAAAAAGTAAGTGAGGATGACAGAGGTCCTACATAAAGATTCAGTAGTATAAATTTGATTAAACCACTTAAATTCTGAGACTCATCTATAAAAACTTTATCTGCCTTACCCCACAGAATATTATATTAATGAGATAGAAATTGTATGTCTAAATTAATCTTACTGCAAAAACATAAAGTATCAGTAGAGTAAGTATGAAATGTAGGGGTTTTTTTTCCCCCTTTCCCTCCCATCACTGCTAAGCACTAATAAATTTTGGTCTCTCTATATAATTTGCCTATTTTATATCAGCAGGGTCATACAGTATTTGTCCTTTTGTGACTATGTATTTCACGCAACATAATATTTTCAAGAGAACCCACTTTATCTTTCTTCTCTTTTTAAGGTGAAAATGTCTGTCACATTCCAAGGGCATTCTTAAGTTGTCATTTTACTTCACTTGCCCCAAATTTAAAACTATGTATGTTTTCTCTTGTTTTTTTTTGGGGGGGGGGAGCTTTTGTGTTCTCTAAATAGTCTGGAATTCTCTGACTCTTGTAACTCGGGCTTGAAAGACATCTTCTAGGCTATGAGACCAGAAGAACTAGATGATGCCCGGCTACCACTTGGAAGGGATATACGAGATCCTACATAGAGAGGGAGAACAATGTGGAACAAAACTCAAAATCATTTGGAGGCAAAAAAAAAAAAAAGAAGGTGGGGACCAGGTTTGCTGGTCCAATAGAGCCTGGTGAAACCACTGAAACTATGGCCCCTAGCTGCCCTTCAGGTCTGGGATTGAACCCACACCTGTAGTTTCCAGCCAAACAAAGAACAGGCAAGTGAGTTAAACATTTACCTCAAGTAGACACACACCCTGGAGAGAACAATCATGGGAGAAGGAAGGGCTGCTTATGCACAGGGAGACAGCTCAGGGCGCAGAAGAGTATGGAGGGATGGACACTGGGAGGAGGTAACTATGGGGAGGAGTGGGAGGGGAGCTGTTGCATTGTAAATTTTGGTCAATGACATGAGACAAAGTATATGTGAACTGCTGTATGAAAAGTGAATTTACTCTTTAAATCTTCACCCAAATCAAAATAAAATTTAAAAAAAAAAAAAAAAAGACATCATCTAGGACTTAGGAGATAGAGTCTTATTTAATCTCACTCATTTTAATAAAGGAGCTCTGCTGGCACAGTGCCTAAGGCCACTGACTGCTAACCAGAAGGGTGGCGGTTCAAACCCACCAGCTGCTCCACAGAAGGAAGGTAGGTAGGGCAATCTACTTTCATAAAGATTTATCATCTCGGAAACACAATGAGGGTTGCTCTGAGTCAGAATCGACTCAATGGCAGTCAGTTAAAGTTAATATGTTGTCCCACTGTAGTACTCTGCCTTCCTGGTGTTCCCAAGATAGGAGTTGTGCTTTTTCTCCTTTTCTCCAGGGTATCAACCCTCTCTCTTATGTTTGTGGAAGAAGGGTAGTCTCCTGGATGAATGAACCTATCACGAAGTGTAGGGTTTTTTTTGTAGCTGTTACTTATATCCTAGAACTTGCTGTTGGGTGCTGTCAAGTCAATTCTCACTCATAGCCACTCCATGTGATAGAGCAAACTGCCTCACAAGGC